GTGTCTTTGGAAAGTAAGGGAATAGTTTATCGATGTTTGGTTGATTTATTTACATTGATTTCTAAAATATTGTGGTAAGAGAATAATTTATTTTGTCTAATGGTGCTGTGATACGTACTAATACTGCTTTTTAACTCTTTGTGAGTGTGATATTTATAATCTTGCCATTTTGAAGGGACGTGGAACGGTTGCTACGGGCCGCGTGGAGCAGGGAATAATCAAACCAGGTGAAGAAGTTGAAATTTTGGGACTGTCACCGGTGAGTATATGTCAGTGGTTAATAATAATTGGACCTTGCAATGGGTGGATTCTAGTTTCTGGCGATTGAGTTCACTATTTTTGAGCCATCGTTTGTTCATTCGTAATTCCCTTGTCTGTCTTATCATGGGAATCTATATTTTTTTATGCAGTAACGTAGCTTAAAATTCCCCTTTTCTATTTCCATACACATTAGACTTATGCTTGGGCTTCTCCTTTTTCTACAGAACAAACTTAAAACCACAGTAACTGGTGTTGAGATGTTCAAGAAAACTTTGGATTTTGGCCAGGTAAGTGTTTTTTGTTTCTCATCTGTCAACTCCGTTCACAATGTATTCATAAATTGTCATGTTTCAAAAAATTGATTGGTTGTTAGGCTGGGGACAATGTGGGTCTTCTTCTACGAGGCTTAAAACGTGATGAGATCCAACGAGGAATGGTTAGACTCACTGAACAGAAATTTACATTCTGTTATTTGTACGACTTTCATTAACTAGGATTTGTTGGGCTTCTTTCATTATCCCCCGAGTGAGTAAATTAGTGAATACGAAATACCACACGTACTAAGGCCCAAAATCCATTTTTTTTTTGTTTATTTATATAACATGCATGTGTATTTTCCGTGCAGGTAATTGCAAAAACTGGTACTCTTAAAACATACACAAAATTTGAGGCAGAGATATATGTCCTCACGAAAGAGGAAGGTGGTCGCCACACGGCCTTCTTCTCAAATTATAGACCTCAATTTTACATGAGGACAGCTGATGTCACTGGTAAAGTCGAGTTACCTGAAAACGTTAAGATGGTTATGCCCGGGGACAATGTAACTGCAATTTTCGATCTTATCTATCCTGTTCCTCTCGAAGCAGGTGCATTATACTTCTTTTTTTATTTTAAATCTGCTGGGGGTGTGTTTTTACAATCTTATTTTGTACAGTATCATCAAAATTTCCCTCTTTTAGACATATACACTATTTATGATGTCTAACTTGTCTCGATTTTTTTTTTCTTTTGCAGGACAAAGATTTGCCCTGAGGGAGGGTGGTCGAACTGTTGGTGCCGGAGTTGTTTCCAAAGTCATAAGTTGAATAAATATTTTCGGGCAATTAATAGTGCCTTTCGAAAGAGGGTGAGAATGAGGAACTCATTTTTCTTCAGACACAAGGTCATTTTGTCTTGTTTGTTCTAATGTGACTGCCGGGAAATATGTTGAGCACGGTGAACTCTCGTTTGTCTATATTCTCCTGTATTGTTGGAAAAGCATTTTCAATAATTAATCTTGTGTGGCATTGTTTTTCTTTCACTATTTTTGCTTTGCCCCGTGATGGATATTCGTAAACTGTAGTTTTTGCCCCATTTCTTTCTTTGTTTTGGTTTGGCTTCTAGGCTGGCAGTGCTGGAGGTTAACTACTTCTCTTCTTCTCTCTCTCTCTTTTTTTTTTTT